ACTGCTGGTGGGAATGCAGACGGTGCAGCCATACTATGCTGCTGTAAAAAAAGAAGGAACTCTTACCATTTGCAACAGCATGGATGGAACTGGAGAGCATTATGCTAGGCAAAATAAGCCAGTCAGAGAAAGATAAATATCACATGATCTCACTCATTTGTGGAATATAGTGAACAACATAAACTGATGAACAAAAATAGAATCAGAGACAAAGAAGCACCAAACAGACTGTCCAACCTATGAGGGAAGGTAGGGGAGGGTGAGAGGGTAGAAGATCAACCAAAGGACTTGTATGTATGCATATGAGCATAACCAATGGACACAGACAGTAGGGGGGTAAAGGCATGTGCATGGAGGGTGGGGCTGGAGCTGGCGGGGAGAGGTCAATTTTTGGCAGTTTGCTTTCTGAAATTTCTACTTGCTCATACTAACTTTTTTACCCCCACTGGTTAGTAGCTTGGCATAGTCAGAAAGTTATTAAAGCCTGAGTTGAGTTTGTGTCTTTCAGCAAGTTTTGCCAGGAGTGATAGGGGCATGAATGCTAAGGACCAATTTTTATGAGGAGTCTTGTTAGATCATGCATGTGATGTAAATTTGAACTACAAATTCAAGTGAGAAAAAACCTATGATTATGAAATTGAGGCTTTTTTTCTTTTTTCTCATAGCTATTAAATCTATCTGTCCTAGATTATAAAGACTAGCAATCTATGTAGTCAGAGTATCAATGGCTGTTATCAATATAATTTCCAGTTCCCTTTTATTGTTTCCTTTGTGTGAGAGGATCACAACAGTGCATAGAAGAAAAGCAGACTTGAAGAGTAACTTGCAGCTAGATTGATATTTATTGCCATGTAATGGGTAGTAAACAAATATAAAAAGCAGATATGCATATTAATGCCTTTGGGTAACAGACCAAATAATGGGCTTTTCTTCATTGGCATTTAAATACAGTCAAACCTTTCTCTACCATCTCCAATTTATGAACAATTTGGTTCTCAGCCAAGTTGTGCACAGAAAAAATGTCTAGGTTGTGAAACCAAACTTTGGTTTTTGAAAGATCTCTCAGGCCACAAAAAAAGGAGAGAAGGCTTTTGTTGTTGGGGGAGTCAAAGGTTAGCACAATTTTAAAACATAAATAGGCCATCTAGTGCAACTATTGCTAAGAGCGTGAAAGAAATAATGATCACAGGCAGTTGAAGAGGTATAAAAACTGTTGTTGATTTGGATAAATAAAAAGCAGTTAGCCAGTGTCAGCATTTTGGAGGCAGCAATATATAAACAAACAAAGATGCTGCATGGTGACCTGAAGGATACCCCTGGAATGAGTACTGAAAGTGACTTAAGGCTAGCAGGAGGTGGTTCGGTAAACTTAAGAAAAGAAATGTTTATTTGTAGATTAAACAGTACATTAGACATGTACTGTATATAAGAAAGATTAAAATGGAATCATTTGTGGCTGGAATGGATTAATTCAATTTACATTATTTCTAATGGAAAAAAATCATTCGGTTTTTGAACAAATTGCTTCTCAAACAGCCTATCTGAATGAATTGAATTTGAGAACCGAGGTTCCACTGTATATGATTAGAGTCATTGATATGATGGCTTACACATGTTATTCCTCATATAATATGTGTCTCTGTCACAAAGTGATGAGTGTAGCAAGTAATCATGTTAGAATTAAGTTAATAAACCTCTTTATAAAAAATAATCACTTTTCCTTTGTTTTTTTCCCAAACTTATTATGCTTTGTTAATAAATTAATTTCCAGTTCTCAAAATTAAATCAATCACCGCTATATATTTTTTACTCTGACTTTTTTTGTATGACAGAATAAATAACAAGATGAGAGTAACTGTGATTTTATTATAGTCATCTTTGTCCTACTTCATGCATGCCAAAGCCTTTGTCTCTTTGCCTTTCTTCTTCCTTATTCCTCTGCAGGAGGTTGCTCTAAAAATAGCTCCAGAAATAGATGTTATACACATGGTCAGATTGCTGAATCATTTAGTTCTTTTGTGAAGTTTAAGAATGTGGAAAACACTGAGCAGAATAGGACAGGCATATTTATCAAATGGCAAGTTATGCTTTTGAAGAATAAAGAATTATAATCTCAATAATCTTGTAGTTTTATTTAAATCTATTTTAAAATGATTATATTTATAAATATATAAAATGGTTTTGAATCTTCAAAAAAGTTTTGAATGTGATTCTCAGAATTGCATTTTGTTAAATATAATAAATTTGAGACTATGAGCAGATTAATAATAAATGAGCTATAAATATTTTATATATAAATATTTTATTTCATTATCTTCTCATCTTAGGTATGTTAACATTATTGCTTCTTTGCAATAGTTTTTCTGCCTATGATATTGTTATCTCCAGAAAAAAACTGTTGAGTTTAATGCTTGATAATGAAATATGGTGATTTTTTTTCTCAAAGTGAGGATTTAGCTTTTTTATATCATTTCTTCCTTCCCCATCATTCCAAAATAATTAAACATTTTTGGTAAACAGATTATTCAATACTGATTCCCCCATAATTGTAATGCTAAGAATTCCTTACAAAGTATATCTCTGAATTGCTAGAAAAATTAAGGAAAAGTTATAATTTTATTTAAAAAAATGAAATTTGGAACAACAAAAATGATTGTAATTATTTTGCTTGTTAAACTGCTGTAAAGACTGTCTATTGAAGTGGTTATATATGTAGTTGAATTCTGATTTTTAGCTTTTCAATTTATTGTGAATATTTTTCATAGCTCTATAGGTCATGACAGTTATTGATTTTGAAAATTTGATAAAACCTGCTAAAATTTTATTTTATAAATGAAGATAAATGTAAAACATTACAACTTAATTAAATAAAGTTTAAAAAACCTTTCTCATAAATTATCACCTGATGTAATTTGATTTTATATTTTAATAGCCAAAAAATATGTCTTGAAAGGTGTCTGTAGTTTCTGGAGATGGTAGGCTGGAGCTCAAAGAGACAAAAAAATAGTTTTTTTAAGATGCCTTGATTTAGTGGAATTCTAGGCTACTGCTTCTCAGTTTCTTCCAGTTGAATGCCAGCAAACAATGCTAGTGCCTAGCAATATCTCAGGCAGATTCCAGGAAGAACTGGAAAACAGATTCCCCCAGAGTTCAGAGAGGGCTTTCAGTTAGGTTGTGACTCCATACTTCTGGGGAGCAGATAGGAAGCAAGCTACCATTTTCTTTGGAAAATAGAGCCATGAAATAAAATTAGCTCTACTACTAGTCTATCACTCCTCCTTCCCTCTCATTTCTGGGAATATCAGAGCGTGAGGTAGCTGGTAGAGCTGGTTCAAGAAGTTTGCCAATATGTGGAGCCTATCACCCACTGAGGGGACTTCTTGTTCTACAGACTTATTTTTTGACCATGGTTGATAAACTCTAAAAATCACTAACTCACAGCTATGGAACAGGTTTTTCAGGGGTGGGCCTGAGAATGGTCATGCCAAATGAATGGTGCATTTACTGGGTGATTTGATAGCTGCAATTATATTCGTTTTACACTCGTTAGGGCCTAAGGCAGTGATGGCGAACCTATGACACGTGTGTCACAGGTGACAGGCGAACTCATTTTTTTATTTTTTTATTTGTTAAATGGCATTTAAATATATAAAATAAATATCAAAAATATAAATCTTTGTTTTACTATGGTTGCAAATATCAAAAAATTTCTATATGTGACACGGCACCAGAGTTAAGTTAGGGTTTTTCAAAATGCTGACACGCCGAGCTCAAAAGGTTCACCATCATTGGAAGGGGTTGAGAGAAGGTTGGAGGACCCCTGTGCTGTTTTAAAAAGCAGAGTACTGGAAGTCAGGGTAAATGGAATCTTGTGCTCTCAGCCTCTAGGATAGTATGAAATCCTGAGTCACCTTCCCATCCACTTCCACCCTGCCCCTGCGGCAATCTCAACTGTATACTTTTTCTTATGTGAATAATGATATTACAGACTAACCTTCCTCTTAAGACTCTGTTACTCCATATGTCATACTTTTCAGAAGGTTTGTGTCTTTTTACTTAATGAGATTAGGTAACTTCGTTTTTATTTTATGATTTTTAAAAAATCATTTAGGCCCTGTCTGGTGTAGCTCAGTTGGTGTTGTCGTGAGCACCAAAAGGTTACTGGTTAGATTCCCAGTCAGGTACATGCCTGGGTTGTGGGCTCGATCGCCAGCATAGGGTGTGCAGGAGGCAGATGATCAGTGTTCTGCTCTCACGTCAGTCTTTCTCTCTTTCCATTTCTCTCTCTCTAAAAATCAATAATTTGGGCCAAAGATTTCAATATTTGCTGAGTGTAACTAACTACATGTAAACAGCAGAGGTTTGCTTTTGGGTGCTATACCTTAACAGTAAAGGGTAAATTTCCAATTACAAGAACCTCCAATTCTTGCTTAGAATGGAAATTGCCTTTATGGTGCCCTTCAGTGACACTATGATCTGCGTTTAGTTTTATGGAGGAATTGTTTGTGTTTTGTTCATTTGTAACTGAGTGGTATATTTCCAAAGGTTTGAGAATCATGAAGTAAATTGCTTTGAAATTCTCAGTACTATTTGGAAAGCGAATTGCATAAATTTAAAATTTAAAGCATTAGAATGGCTTTCTTTTAAAAATGATTTTTAACAAATGTTTGATCATATGACGTTTGTGCTACAGTGCAAATGCTGAAGAAGCATTTTGGCTTCTTTCCCAAAAGCATGCTTAAGAGGTTAGCGGCAGCATTTCTCTGTTCCCTTCAGTGCTTTACCTTGTGAGTGGTGCAGCTTGTTCTGCGGATGTACTGAAACCCTCCCCTTTAATCTGCAGTGGAGAAGAATGGAGCCCAATGTCCAGGAGAAATCTATGGTCTAGCAAGGTTGCAGTGAATAGAGATGACTATTTATTTCAACAGCTGAGCAAGAAGACATTTATAATATTTCTTTTGCTTTCGGCTGATCAATTTTTGCTTTCTGTTTCCTTCTAGAGAGATGTGGATAATTTGCCCTGCCTCCAACGTCTGTTTCTCAGCTTCAACAATATATCTAAGTAAGTGGAAACTCCCAATTTGTCATTTACTAATAATATGATAGTGTGGTTTGCAGTGTTTTAAATTAAGATTATAAGTACCTTGGAGAATTTATTGACATGTGAGATTTTTAAATTGGAAAATGATAGGGCCATCGGTGACAAAGTTCTTTGTGGAAAAACAAAGCTCTGCTGTATATCAGTGCCTTTCATACTAAAATAATGAAATTTATGTAATGTGCTTTTTATTTCATTATACTTTAGAGTTTCTCTCTTGTAAAATGTGGAAATTTAAACATACATTTTGCTGTCTTTTGTTTGACACTTACTGCACTAGTCAGTTGAATTAGAATTTCTTTCATAAATTACCTACTAAGCAGTTTTGATATAGTTGGCTATATTTGTCAGAGACATTTGCTAATTAGGCCATAACTTTTAACTTAGTATCCCTACTTAGAATGAGTGCTGCCAAGAGACTATACCAATGTGTGTGTGTGTGTGTGTGTGTGTGTGTGTGTGTGTGTATATATATGAATATAAACTTTGCTTTACAAAGATTTGAAGCATATAATTCTTTATATTGTAATAAAGTTTCATTCACTGTCAGTGTGGGAGATTTTAGAACTGGAGCTGAAACAAGCAGTCAGACTTTTCAGTGAGAAGGGACCTCTATTCCTTCTCTAATTCTTTCCTTCTCCTTCTTCCCCCTGGCCACTTAGTTTGAACTAGGTTTTATAACTACCCCTAAATTCTTTAGTTTTACTTCAAGGCTGTTCTTTGAACCTGCTTTTATAAGATGGTAAGAATTAAGTATAAAAGAGTTTAGAACACATCTCTTCTTGGCCTCTAGGCCTATGCTTCTGATTATTAAAAACTAGTTTAGTTTTTGTGCGTTTTCTATTTGCATCTTTTTTCCTCCTCCATCAGACTTGTATTACCTGTATCCCTGTGCTATATCTCTAAATGTTAGAGATTAAATCCAGATGGTGAACTTTACAAATAAGCATTATTTCAAAGAAGATACCTTGAATCTCTCTTTTTTATTTTCTGTGGAAAAGGCATTAATGTTTTCTGTAAGACTTTTTTTTTCAGTTTGTGTCGAATGCTCTTCCATCTGCCTTTCTATCTTGTTGAGGAGGTAGGATTTATTTTTCAATGGCAGTGCAAGGGACACTCAACTTTTTAAAGGGAATTTCTACCTAAAGGCCATTAACATCTGTTTTGAGAAGTTAGTTCCTTATTCTCACAATATGTTGTTTCTCATGTGTCACAGTATTAACTGTTTAAGGTGCTGCAAACACCCTAAGTCCCCAAGCCTGTGGTGAAACTCAATACTATGCTTCTTGTATTGTTTATGGGAATAATTTAAAGAGAGACATAAATTTGGGTATACAGATTATGATACTCCCAGATTCCCAGGACATTTGAACTTCTGAACTCCTGGTGCACCCCAGAACCAGCTCAAACTGGTTCTACCCTGTTTCTAGCAAGACCTGGAAGCAAAGTTTGCGAGCAACACTTGTGAACACCACTCATGAATGATACTTGCGCACCCTTAACTGCTACCCCATGGAACCAAAGGACCAAACATGGCCAGATCCTGAACATCGGATGGATCCCTTTCTTAAGTGAAGAGTCCATTGTCCAGGAAGATCCAGTGCTGAAACCCCTTAATCCTGCCCCAAACCCTTGGTGGGGAAGACAGATTTGAGTCTTGCCTCCTATCTCCTTGTTATTCCACTTGTAAAACAAAAGCCTTTTCTCAAAAGCTGGTGCCATAGTCTTGGCTTCTATGTGCATCTGGTAACGAGCCTTTGCTCAGTGACACTGGGTCTGTAGGGAGTGGGTAATTATAATTCAGTTAGTTAAACTTAGTTGTGGCAATATTAGAAAATGTAAATCAGCCTGGAAGTGAAGAAAGCCTTCCCAGAGGTAGATGGTACCAGCACTGAACTCTAAGTGCAGAGTAGGCCTTAGCAAAGTAAAGGGTCCTGGGACATTAAAGGCACAGGGCATACTTGGGCAAAGCTGATGCAGCGGGCTCAGGGTGGACTCACTAGGCCTACTCCATGGGAAACTGCAGTGAGCCTTGCCTTCCCCCTCTTTACTTCCGCCCAACCCCCCACAACCATAACAACCCTGGGCCTTCCTCCGGCTCACAGAGTGCTGAAGGGGACTGCCAAAGTACATTTTTTGATGATTACCTTAAGAGAAATATTCTGTGGTTAATCAAGGGAAGTACCTAAATTTCATTATTCACCTCTTCTTCTGGGGTGCTGTTTGGCTGATTCATTTTGTTCTTCTTGGCTCTCATGCTCATGATTTCCAAGTAATGATTGTATTTTTTTCTAGTGGTTCTTATTTTATGAATGAGGTAAAGTTTTCTTTGATTTCTAGAATTTACTTTTTTTCTTGGAGCTAATACCTGTATTTGTTTTCTAAACAAAAGAAAGAAACAAAAATGCTCTTTCTTTCTTTATTTCTATCATTTTTGCATGGTAGTTTATAATTATAAATGAGAGTCTAGATCAGGGGTGGGCAAACTTTTTGACTCAAGGGCCACAATGGGTTCTTAAACTGGACCGGAGGGCCAGAACAAAAGCATGGATGGAGTGTTTGTGTGAACTAATATAAATTCAAAGTAAACATCATTACATAAAAGGGTACGGTCTTTTTTTTCAATTGTTTTATTCATTTCAAATGGGCCGGATCCAGCCCGTAGGCCGTAGTTTGCCCACGGCTGGTCTAGATGGAGTTTTTTTTCCTCAACAAGAGTTAAAGTGGGAGGCAGGGGTTGGCTATAAGGGGTCAGTGAGAGAAAAAAAAGGGACATATGTAATACTTTCAACAAGAAAGATTACAAAAATAAAGATCCAGTTGTTTCTAAACATAAAAAAAATCACCGTGAATGCAAATTGTGAGTACAGGATTTCTGTCTGCAGGGGATACAGGATAGGGAGGAGGGGGGATGTTTACCCAGTCAGATTTCCCTTAGAATGTGCACAAAGAACTTGCCTTCTGGGAATGCAGGTGCTTTTTTCATCTTTGCCACCTATATCATGTTTATTTTATTCCTTTGGCATTACCTTTGAAGGAGAGAAAAACAGAAAAAAATCTGTTGGATGGCGATGGACATTATTTGAATAAAGCACTTTTGATGTTTCTCTGGCCTGAGCCCTCTTGCAACCTGGGAGCCCTCGTGGGATGTCTGACTGAAGGCTTAGGCCCACATGTCATAGTGACTGGTTGACCAGTCGACTGTCTGCCCCCTGGTGGTCAGTGCACATCATAGCGAGCAGTTGAGTGGCCTCAGCATATCATTAGCATGTTACACTTTGATTGGTTGAACAGCCGACTGGACACTTAGCATATTAGGCTTTTATTACTAGGTGTACCGGTTAATAATGCAGATTTTTTTCATTAAATGCTTTAAAAGTGATGATTTCAATGTGAAAGATAAAGAACGTCCAGGTCAACCGAAAACTTTTGAAGACCAACAATTACAAACATTATTGGATGAAGATGCGTGTCAAACTCAAAAACAACTTGCAGAAAGATTAAACTTTGCTCAGCAAACAATTTCCGATTTTTTACAAGCAATGGGAGAGATTTTAAAGGAAGGAAAATGGGTGCCACATCAACTGAACGAAAGACAATTGGCAAACCGAAAAGTCATCAGTAAAATGTTGCTTCAATGGCACAAAAGAAAGTCTTTTCTGCATCAAATTGTGACTGGTGATGAAAAGTGGATTTATTTTGAGAATCCCAAATGCATAAAATCATGGGTTGATCCAGGTCAACCATCAACAATGCCTGCAAGGCCAGATCGCTTCGGAAAGAAGACAATGCTCTGCGTTCAGTGGGATCAGGAAGGTGTGGTGTATTATGAGCTTCTAAAACCAGGTGAAACCGTTAATACGGATCACTACCGACAACACATAATCAATTTGAAGCACACTTTGATAGTAAAACAACCAGAATGGGCCAGAAGACACAGCAAAGTAATTTTGCTTCATGATGACGCACCATCACACACTTCAAAACCAGTTAAAGACATGTTAAAAAATCTTGCCTGGGAAGTATTAACCCACCCGCTGTATTCACCAGACCTCGCGCCTTCAGATTACCCCTTGTTCCGATCGATGGCACACACACTTTCTGAGCAGCACTTCAAAACATACAAAGAAGTGGAAAATTGGGTCTCTGAATGGTTTGCCTCAAAACAAGAAATGTTTTATTGGGACAGTATCCACAAATTACGTGAAAAATGGGGAAATGTTTAGCTAAAAAAAAAGATTGCGATGGACAAAGCACTTTTGATGTTTCTCTTGAAATTACCGTGTTTTCTTTGATTACAAAATCTGGCATTTAAAAAAAAATATATTTTATTGATTTTTTACAGAGAGGAAGGGAGAGGGATAGAGAGTTAGAAACATCAATTAGAGAGAAACATCGATCAGCTGCCTCCTGCACACCCTGTACTGGGGATGTGCCCACAACCAAGGTACATGCCTTGACCAGAATCGAACCTGGGACCCGTCAGTCGCAGACTGATGCTCTATCTGATGCCCTAGCCAAACCGGTTAGGGCACAAAATCTGGCATTATTAACTGGTACACCTAGTATATAGGATGCCTTAGTTATACTCTTTATTTCTAATGGCATATATAGACATTTAAAGGGTCAATTCTTTAAGTACAAAAATACAAACAAATGCTGATATGGATTTTATTTATAACACTAGAAGCCCGGTGCATGAATTTCATGAATGGGTGGGGTCCCTAGACCTGGCCGGTGTTCAGGGTCAATCAGAGACAGGCTAATTGGGGCTGGGCTGATTGGGGCTTGCAGGCCAAGGGGAGGGACAGGTAGGGAGAGACTGTGGGTGGTTGGCCACAGGCCCCAGGTGGGAGCTGGCCCTTGGCCACCCTGGGAAAGGGACCACGTCTGCCGCCACCCACCCCAGGTTCCCTGCCGCAGCCCGGGCCTGGGGGCAGAATCCCTGGGAGGTTGGCTGGCTG